CACAGTATCAGCTCTCCTAACCTGGCAGTTACCAAGGGTCAAGGTATTTGTTTCTTGTTTGGTTCCAAAGAACAGCATTTACGCAGCGAGGAGCACATCAGCGGGGGGTTCAGCCCACTCTGACGCCCCACAAGCAGAACGGCGCAGCAAAACCCGAACCAGTTAGTCTGCAGATCCTGGATTCCAGCACAGAGCGCCTGCCGCCAGCAGAAACCGGAGACTCTCCTTAGGGAAACAGTCTTTCTGCTTCTAGCACTTGGGGTTTTGTAACACAAGTTGTCTCCTGGCAGTTAAAAGACAAAATAAAATTCAGCATTTTTGCATATAGATAGTTTAAACCTATGTGGCACTTCTTACCATGTTACCTAGTGAGCAAGCGTGGACTGAAGAGGTTAGTAAAGCATTAAGCTAGCTTAGTTTATTTCTATAATGTTTCTTTTTTCTTTTTTTTTTTTTAATTTGCAAAGTGGGATCCTCAGATATAGTTTCTCAACAGACATATGCGTTTCCTCAACTGGGTTGATATCAAGATATTAAAAAATACATAGAAATGTGGGGATAATCACTCTTTTGGGAAAACAAATAAATAAATCCAGACTTGAAAATAATGATCCAAATTGCTATTAATTGAAAACTACATAGAAGACAACAAAGTTCATGACAAAGCTATACACAAAAGGTAGAGCAATCAGCATGTTGTAGGTCCAGTTACACAACAGCATTATGAATGGACCAATTATTCTACCAAGAGTTCAGACAACTACTTTATACTTTCTTTTCCTTTTTCACACCCCATCAGGGTTTTCTTTAGAGGAAAGTCAGCCTGATAACTGCATGGCTCTCAGTTAATTAATAACTAGTCTCTGAGCAATTTCCAGAAGGCATTCATGAGTTAATAAAAATTCTACGGAAAATTGTTATTTCAGAGCTCTGTCCTGTCCTGACTGATTTTATTAAATGAAATGTCCTTCCATTTTTCTTATATTCACACTTCTGTCCACTAATCCATTTAGAACTGCTTCTAAACTCTTTGATTAATGATTTAAAACACTACTTTGTGAAAGCAGAAATAGAGACTAAGATTACAATCAGGTTTTTAACTTCATGTTCTTTACCTAATTCTTAGTGCAGGCATAATTTATCAGACTGTAAATTCTGATTTACAGAATCAGATAAAAGATTAAAAAAAAGTAAAGATAAAGATAAAAAAAGATAAAGATAAAAAAAGATAAAAAAAATTAAAAAAAAATAAAAAAAATCCAAAGTCTACATTGTCCCACATTTCCAAAGCCTTAGTATCTTAACGGATCAAGGCTTTTTGTTTTGTTTTTCCTATTGGTGGTAAGAAGAAAAAAATATATATATTTCAAGATGGCTACAGAGTGAGAAAGTCCCTGTAGTGGCAAAGCCAGCTTAATGAGATGAGCCATTTAAGGTACTATTATGATTTCCCAAGAAGCTACCTGCAAAAGGAGCAAGGGAAACCACATTCTGTTCCTCAGAATCAAAAAGAGAAAATGAATGTATTGTACCCGATGCTTTCTTCCCTCCATTATTTCTGATTCACAGCTTCACTGGTCTATAATGAAAGGAAAAAAGAGATGTCTGAAGTTGCCTGCATTCACTAAGTATCCAACTTAAAGAATAAAATTTCAAACTGTGCAGCCCTATCCCTTCCACTTCAGCTTACTCTGAAGATGCACTGGGAAGACATTAACTACTTGAGATCTGCAGGCTTTTGGAGAATAGACAACAAACTGCTAGACAAGACAGAAGTTGCATGTGTGACTAGAAAAAAAAAAAAAGAATGGCAACAGGACTTATGCTCCTCTTTTTCACATTTCAACATCTTCACTGCAAAATTTAACAAAACCCAGTAAAAATTTAATATCCCGTTCAAGTAACTTCTACGTTTCAAATTAAAAGACATGGTTGAAAGCAGCAGCTTTTACAGGCAGCCTCCATAAACTCATATAATTGCTATTGGACTATTTTCCTAGTGATCACCAGATCAGAAAAAAGGTAATTAAGTCTTTATTTCCTCCCTCAAAATATCCCCCCCCCCCATTCTCCATACTAATTTCCATAAAAAGTTGATGGCTCTGTTGTTATAGTGCTACTCTGTAAATGAAAGCAAAGGTTCAATTCCCTCCTCTGCCTGTATAACCTTGAGCCACCCAGCTTCGCCACTGCTGCATCGCTGCCTTCCAGGGCTGCTGAGTTAGTCGAAGAGGCTTCACAGGGCAGGAGCACGGGCTGAGGAAGCAGCTGAGACACTGGGCTGCACGAGATTCTCACGACTACTGTCCTGGGCTGCTACTTCATGGTCATCAGCCAAGTACAGCGTGAGGAAATAGGGAATTTTAACTACTTCCTTTTTGGAATTGTTATATCAAGAATTAAATTCTGGTGGGGAAAAAAAGTTTCTCGTATGAGAGTCCATGAGAAGTCGGGCTTAGTCATAGCCCCTCTTTATCTCCAAATCAAATAAAGCTATGGAGGGAGTGATGGGGAGAAATGACAGAAACTCCCTCTCCTCCTTGAAACCAGCAACCCTGGGGCCAAGGTCAGATACCGCGCTGGTTGTTGGTTAAGTGCTCTGTCTGATCAGGTTATCTGAAGCACTGCGGGCAGAGGGAGGCATTTGCCTCTTCAGGAAAATCAGATAAACCTGCTCCGTTTTGTATTAACTATCACCAAGATCACGGAATAAAAAACTGAACAGAAGGGCAACAAGTAGAGTCAGAATGAGGTAAGATTAAATTTTAATAACCAATACTGTGGAACAGATACTATGAATCCTGAATTTCTCTCAAACTTCTAATTCTTAAACAAAACCAGAGAATATCACCAGTAAAAAGTAAGATTTCTTTTCAGAGAAGAATTCTGTTCTTTTCCACTAATCAACAACTGAGACTTCTTGTTGCTAAGGAGGAATGATATGAAGCCATTAGATTACTTGAGTGAACTAAGAATGTTAACTGGTTACATGATGTATATTTAGAGTCCATTTGCAAAACAACTTATGTAAGAAAATTATATCACAAGTCCTAAAAAAAAGTAATTAACTTGCTAGCTCATATTACCTACCCTGTTCTCCAGGAAGAATCAAGCAAATGGAATATTTTGATAATAAAGTTTTCACTCAACACAAGAGAAGAAAATCTGGATTTCAAATGCATCAAACTATCCAAATGCTTTAAACACCTTATCTAAAAATGTACTGGTATTTAGACTGTATACCATTATCTGTAGCAAGTAATCCAGAATGGCCACTGACCATTGGAATTACCGGTCTAAGACTTATGGTTTTCTGAAATCTTTCCAGACAGCTGACATCATGGTAAACATCAGCCCAGCAGGTATATAAGTGAACTGATGGCAAACTGAGGTGTTTTTAAGATGACCATTCAGAATACTTGTGTTTAACATTTCCTTAGACAAAGAATGATAAAAGATCATCTAGGGTAACAAACACTCGCAAACGAAAAATGGAAGCACTTCAACCATGAATTCATACGGAAGATGTTTCACATTACTCACAAGTTACACAAAGCTAATGTTTTCAGTCTTTTGCACTACTGATTAAAAAAACCCTAATAATTGCAAATATTACAGTTTTCATCTTTTAAAATAAAAGCTGACAGGCAAGACTAACAAGAATGGGAGCAGACTGTGTATGCCAAAACTTGCCTTCCCACTTCCTAGGTATTTTGCAGATTTTTGCTCTTTAATGTTTCCGTGCAGGCCCATACAAAATTGGCTATTACAGCAATTATTTAAAAAAAAAGGAAAGTTTAAAACAGAATAAGCCTGTCAAATTTACACTCCCTTTATCTCCTAGAATGTATGTACCCATTCCAAGAAAATCTCCCACATTTTCTGTTGGTGCACTACCTTAAACTTGTGTTGAGTTCCTCCTAAATGACATTACAGCACCAGGAGTCAGAGCCTTGCAAAAAATTTAACAAGATGAAGTGAAAAAGCCTCAGGATACTGACACAAGAAACATTTTAGCCAATTCAAACTCCTAAACTATTCCTCATTTAACAGCGTTTGTCATACAATTCAAAACTATTTTTCCCATGTATTTTAAATAAGGAATTTTTTGAAGTTGACATCAATTTCTGAATAATTTAATATTGTAAATATTTAATACTATAATACAGTATTTTATATAATAGTGTATTTAATACTATAATACTGTAAATGTATTGCAAATCTTATAGAGCATGTCCTGAGAAATTTATTTCAAGACATTCCTTACTCTAAAGTCTGTATAGTCTTTATTATCTGTAGAAAAAACCCTCAGTATTTATTTCTTGGCTGCCAAAGTAGACCGAGATAAAGGCAAAAGTATAATAGTATTCTCCTGCATAAACTTAAGGAAAATAGTTAACTTGCTTTATTGCAAACTTATTAGTCTTACTAAGCATGCTTTCATTTTATTAGGCCAAAGATCACTAATTGCATCTCCAAATCACGATTTAAAAGAATTTGTTTTCTAAAGATGTTCTGAAGAACAAAAATTAGAAACTTGACATACTCAGCACACCAAAATACCAACCCATCCACCTGATCCATCAAAGCTAGAAAGTCATGCTTTGTTTATGAACAAAACAAATCCCCAAATTATAAATCACCAAGCACAAAGTGTGTTAGGTCTACACGATCTTTGCATTCAAACCATTTTTGGACCTTTGATAAGTTTTATTCCTTGTGGAGAATGATAAATAAGTCATCCAAGTATAGTTTATGTTCTTTGTTTTCATGTGCCAAACCCTACCGAGCAGCACAAAAACACGCTCCTAGCCTTGGCAGTTCATGAGACAGCAATTATGTTGCATGTATCATTTTATTCAAGTAAGCATAATTTTAGTAGTCGCAATTGCAGGAAGTGCTAGAGCTAGAAAACAAATGCTTTATACAATGTAGATTCATGTTCAGATGGTACTAGGCTCTAATGATTTGGAATTCAGGATATTACATAGCTAATAGAATTTAAGTTTAGAAATACGTTTATTTTCAAGGTACCAGATCTCTCTCACTCCCGGCATAAAATACGTATTTTCAGGATGAATATCCGCCAGTATTGGACTGATGAGCTAAATCAAGCCAATGACAAAAGTCATACAGAAGCAAAAAACCATTATTTATTAAAAGTAATTTAATAAAATGTCCACAGGTAACTCAAAACCTGTAATTAAGAGGTATGCAGAGGTTTATGTATTTTGCTCTATTTTCTGAAGAAGAAACTCCATTTGTAAGTTTAGATTTGGCTGTCCTCTTTTTGTCTTCTTACTCAATATTTTATAAGCTTCCATTTTCTTTTGCTTGTACAACCTTTGAGCTGCTTCTCTTTGTTGTTTTCTTTTTTCTGCTTCCTGAAATTAAACAAATAGATGAGATTATGAAACAATTACACACCTTGTATAACTATAAAGCTATCTATAAGCAATAAAACTTCTTTTTGTAAAGACACTGGCAATTAAATATTGTACTGACACCACAAACACCATTACTCTTAAAAGCTTAATCAGGACTCTCTTTCAGCACACACTGCAATCAAAACTTATTATATTGCCTAAAGCTTCAAGAAAAGAGCCATGTTTTCTTCGGTAGAACATCCTACAATAAGGTTTGCTGCTAAAATACATACTGCTTCCTTTCTGCGAAACAAGCTCCTTGACTTTTTTTCTTAAATGACAAAGTGGTAAATATTTCCCACTTTCTCCTCTTGAGTACAAGAAAGAAAGAGTTTGATACAATGGCCCCCATGTAAATATCTTTCCAATCCAGATGTGCTAGGATACTGGCCACATCTGCATGGGACTGGTGGATAGGACATGGGACATATCTGGTGCTGGAAGCTGGGCAGGTTTGTGATACTAGGACAGCATCACAAGCAGTGTTACCTAGGGCAACTTAATCAGGACCAAACTGTTAGTGACTTGTCCTCCTCAAAGCAACACAGACGGCTGTCTTTACTGAGAGGGAAAAAAACAAACTGTAACCAAATTTTCAACCGTACAACCTTTCCGTGTTGAGGGGATAGCACACACCCAAACAAAACACAAATGGAGGCACTTATGCTATATGGATAATCATCCAGATATTGTGTTCAGTTTTTATCAAACAGCTTACATCCCCTTTTCTAGTGTTGTAATTTTATTAAGTAATTTGGGCAAACATCCACAACCAGCAAGCTAACTAGCTTGGTTCACTTCTATCATATCCTACCTAAATATGCAAGACATCATGAATCAGACTGAAGGATTGCTTCAGTTCGTTTGGATGATTTCTTCTCATAAAGCCTATTCTTTGAAATGCAGTGCCATGCTGACTACAAAGGCAGATGTTTCTGCAGAATGGTCAAATAGATGATAATTTATCAATTATGTTATTTTTTTCCATGACATAGCTAGCTTCTGTGATGTATAAAAATTAGCAAAAATGCTCTGTGATGCACAATACAGAATTAACCAGAAACGACCCAAGAAAAATTTCTAAATAGAAATCTAAGAGGCTTCTTGGGGGTGGGGTTTTGAAGGGGAGGAACAAACAAACATGCTAATGTAACACCTCTTCATTCAGAATGCTTCATGTATTTTACCATAACAATGATTCATATAATTCATTCCCCCACTTTTTAAAAAAAAAAACAAAAAACAGAGTAGCATCAGCTAACTTACCCGTAAGTCACTTCCTCTCTAATAATCTACTGCTGTTCGGCATACTGTCGTAAACAACATTCATCTAAGCTACCAACCAAATGCTTACACAAAGCAAGAACATTCATCTTACTTAGGTAGTCGTTATTTACATTTGTATTTTTTCTGATCTCTACCAAATCCTAGCTTTTTTAATACAGTGTGGAGGCCAAAATTGTGCCTTTATTTCTTCTCACAAAATAAATAACAGCAAATCCAGTGTTCGCTAACATACGCGAGGGTAAAGTATGTGATCATCATACCAGTGTTGCACATAAATGATTACTGTTATTGTGGCACTTAGCTACTGTTTGTTTTGCCTAAGTATCTTGAATAAGACCAAAAACGCTCATAGTTCCCCTCAAGCAACTCTTACGTGCTGCTCAAAGAAAATTCCTTGCAGTCTTGCGGGGTTTTTGCTTGTTCCTATTTCCTCTAAATAAGCTGGTCATAGCATTTTATTTTTTTTTAGCATGATCTGTATCTATCATTCAAAAAAGAAGCTCTCAGCTAAACAACCATGTAACTCACCCAGAATCACTCTAATTTTCAATACAGCTAAACTGCAGAAATACTATATTTTATCCAGCTATATACTTATGTAATATTTAGACAGCAGTTACTGAAATTTAGTTTGTGACCAGCAAGTTACACAACTTTTACAATGTTACCATGTATGCCATTTTACAGTGCAACAAACAATGTACTGGGAGAGAACAAAACTAATTAAATGAGGATGTCTCAAATGAATTAACTCAACTGAGTTATTCAACAATGATAATATATTAAGATACCCTGTAAGAATAAGTCTTATTAAATTAGAAGGAGAGAAAAAATTACTAAAGATTTTGGCTGTGGATACTATTACATTTAATTGTTTCACTGTTGGTCAAAACACATAAAAAGGTAAAATGAAGACTGCATTATGATAACACCGTAAAAAATAGGATGGTATTTCATTTTTCATCACCAGATGATGGTACTGTTATTATGTCCCCTGGGATATAATCCACTGGGATACAGAACAGATCAAGTTCTAATTTTTTATTGATGTACCAATTGACATAAAATCCCGCTAACGGCAACTGCAGGACAAAAATAGTAAGAACAAAGAGAATGATAACTTTGAACGCCTGTGTGCCTGAATGTTACTGTCAAGTTGAAAACGACCGACACCTGTGTTCCTTTCCTATGGTCCTATCTGGGTCCAGATGGAAGACTGACGGGTAGAAATGGTATTAATCTAGTCTTTGTCTACAATCAAGAAAGACGTCTGTTTAAGATTTACCTCTTTCTTTCTAGCACGCTCAGCCTTTATTCTCTCATACTCTTCTTTTGCCTTCTGATTGGATGTTTTCCTCTTAAACTTCCCTTCAGTCATAACTGACCTATAAGAAAAAAATACATGTACTTCAGGTACGGACTACCACCAAGCAGACATAACCATATATCTCATAGCTACCGCAGTGTTCCACTGTTCTTTGCACATTTGGGGAAGTTAATTAGAAATACAGATTTCAGAAGGCTTATCCTTCTACATTGAATGGATATTTATTTGCACCACTCTTACATGATACCCAACCCCATTACATGTAACATAATGAGCAGCTAGCGTGAAAACACAGCAAACTAAACTCCTCCAACACCAAGTGTACTGAAGACTGCACACAACGTTTAGTAACATGTATACCTTACCTGCTGGATCTTCACATGAATCATGTTTCATGAAGTTTAAAGAGTGCGTAAAAGAGAGGTTTTTTCCCCTATCATACGAGCTTTTCAGAGCTAGAAAAACTGCATGCACTAGCTTAGAGCTGTATTATCTCTTTCTAATTCCAACATATGGATGGAACTGCAGACATATGAGGACAGCTAGCTGTTAGCAGACTGCCTGCCAGAGAAGTCAGGCTGACATGGCAAGGTGAAAAAACACGGTAGTAACAATGCCTTTCTAAAAGTTTCTTCTTGAAGGAGATGGCAAATTATTGTCCTTAATGTTCTGAAATGAGAACTGAAATGATGTTCCTTCCACATTTTGATATAAAAAACTGCCCAGGTATCTTTCACCACAGAAAACAGTAAAAGAAAAAACAGTGCCATTTGGCTAGCATTTACTGTCACACTACTTTGAGTGAATTTTTCACGTTATTTAGTTCTAAATTTTATTTCTGATTCACAATAAAGCCATTACATAAACAGCATAGTAGCAAAGCCATTTCACAATTGAAAAATACAAGCCTTGCTAGATACTTAGCAACTCTTCACAAAATAAATTTTTGATTACTCTATTACACTACAAAAAGTTGGAAAATAGCCATCATCATCTAGGAGATTTCAGACAGATGATCAAAAAGGAAAGAGAAGGTATTTGCTCATACTTTCATTTAGAAATACCACTCTCTTCTGAAGAAAAAAAAAATAAATTCTTTGCTTTATTCTCATCTCCATCTTGTGGCAATACTGTGTAATGACACCTCATTGTCTCAAGTACAGACCTACTTCAAATGCAATATATGCTAAAAATGGACCCAAATCTTACTTTACATTTCCACAGAACACTGAAATCTATCTAATAGATTCTACACATCACACCACCTCACAGATTAGCAGTCACATTTTTTCAGAATTAATCATTCTGTTTTACAATCACAATGGCCGTAGTCTAAACAAAATTTAAAAACCCTCTGGTTCAACAAAAAACATCAGTCCTATTTCAGACATCTGCATGAATTAGCTGCCTATTCCAGGCAAAACTTCCTTTCTCTTCTGGGCTTAGATCTGACCGGTGTTCTCCCCTCTCCGGAGCATTCTTCCCACAAAAGTTTACATATAGATACCCCCTGGAATTCCAAGACTTATGACACTCCTTGTACTGAGGACAAAAGGCATTGTCTCAACCGTGGTACTTGAATGCTGTTTAAAAACACTGCCATGACAGTGTTAGACCTGAGTGATTATGTTTTTCATTTTACTGACGTACCTAACCAAGATTTCAGGGGGAATTACTGTCACACAGGGAAAAAATAGTTTAAGTTGTCTGACATTTGTTAGACCGCAAGTGAGAAACTCGATTTGACTTCTCCCAGTTATTACAAGTAAATTCAAAACAAAACAAAAAATCTCAAAAAACCCAAACACCACTGGCAAACTATTACGATATCTCTATTAAAATTATTACTTTGATCAAGAATACTTTACTGCCTTAAGGTTTTACTACATCCTCCATTTCATTTTTTTTAAAGTTCATAGTTAAAATCCTCCCAAACCTAGCCATACTGCAACAAGATAACTGCACCACAGTAACACTCTTTCTAGCAGAAAAACAATGCAATATGAAGACGACAACTTATCAAACTAGAAACAGAAAGATAATGCAAAAAATGTTTCTGAAAAGTGACATTAATTTAAAAATACTGAGAATCAATTCAAAGGAAAACTCTGTAGAGTCAAAAGCACGCTACCCGTAAAGCAAGCTCTTCTCTTTGTAGATATGGTAAGAAATTGGCAAACACTTACTGCTCTTGGGCTGAACCCTACCCTTAAAGCACAATGGTAACTGTCACTATTTCTGTGGAATCAAACCCTAAACATCATCAATTTTGCTTTCTGATTCTGATGCAAACACAACAAAGCTGTATGTTTAAATTTTCTAACAGTTAGGAAAAATGTTTAAGACCTAATGGCATTTTTTAGTAAAGCAAATCACCATACTGAAGTCCACGTAAAATGTAAGATCTAAAGTATTTCCTTAATGATGGAAACAACTACTTGTTTTTAGAGACATAGTTCAAAAACTTACTCTACTGCTTTATTAGGTCTCTCTTCTGATAAAACTGAATCATCTGGAGCTCTGCGTCGTTTCTTAAGCATTTCTTCCTCAGCCAGGTAAAGATGTTTCAAGTGCTCCGGATAAGTATCAGTAAACTGATCATCCTGTTGTGAATGGAACTTTCTTCCCTTTTTCAATAATTTCCTGTATTGTCTTTCAATCTTTTGTTTTCTCCGAAATGCAAATCCTCGTCCTGAAAACATAAGAAAAACGGTTAAATACACCTGCACTGAAGTAGTACCAAACCGTTTAATTGTTGCTAGGACCATTTCAACCCATTTTCTTTCCAAAATGGAAAAAAAAAAAAAACCAAAACACTATTTGTGCTAAATTTAATAAGGACCAGTCAAAAATTCATGAAAAAAAGTTATAAATCTATTCCCTACTGTAGCATTATGGTTTGTACAGATTTACTGAAAATTATCACCTAAACCCTAAAGAGAACATGCCATTTCATTATAGTACTTAATGCTCAATCAACATTACACACCTTCGTCAACACTTTTTTAATCCAGTGAAAAGACATATTAACATGTCACTTCTCTCCCACTTTTGACAGCATCAGAAGCAACATCAAAATAGATTCCAAAATAAATTCCTACAGATTTCTTCCTAAAGTCTCAGCAAGTCACTGATAACAGTAATACTGGCTGCTTAAGCAGTCTGCAGCTGCAATACCACAGGAAAAAGAGAGTCACTAAATCACTGTATTATGCTATATTAATTTTCCATTATATATTTTCACACAAATGGTATTTTTATTGCTACCACCTTCTTTCTACACCTGTCCAGGAAGAGCTTGTCTATGATTTCAAAAGTATGCTACACTATAGAATGATTTAACCTTAAAGGAAACATCAAATAATGGTTGTTTCAGTCTAAATCATTATATAACAACTTATTAGTCTAAAGGCAAACACGTTGTTTTCCTAATATGTTACTTTTTTATTGCATTAGTCTTAAGAGCTACTGACTTTGATAACATTCACTAACAAAATAGTTTCTAAAGGCAGTAAATGCAAATTAGTCCCAACTTTTCGTTTGATTCTTTCTCCAAA